TTGCATTTTTTTTAATTTGGGGACTTTTGTCGTGGTTTGTGATGGGTCGGTCTGACACTAACCACGAAATATTTGAGGTTCGAATTTTCACAACAACAATTGTAATTCGAACCAATTCGAGTTTTTGTAATTTAAAATTGGTTAAAATGTCTTGCGAAGAAGTTACGCGTCCGGAAACAAGGGAAATTTTAAGTTTAGATTTGCCACTGACATTCACCTGACATTTCTCGTCATTGCTACCAATCTTACCGATCTAAATTACACCAGATCTATTAAAGAACGCCTTTCCGCTATTAAGGCTCGCGTCTGGATCGGTTTCGCCCTATACTAAATACATTGAAAACATCGTCGTGGTTTCCGGAGTTGCATTTTAAAAATACGGGATATATCGCTTTAAAAAAATTATATTTCGAATTAACAAACTTGAGTCCAGGGGACCTCCATATTTATATTCATATCTAGTCCGCAGTTTTTACAAAAAAAAATTGTAAAGTTGACCAATTTTTACACCAGATTTAACCGGTACATTGATGCATTTTTTGAAGAAGTGCTGAAGTGATTTGCATTCTGAGATAGGAGGTCCCCTGGGGAAAAGTGTCAGCTTTCTTTTGATACCATTTATAATCCTAAAAAATTCACGACTGAGGTAAATAACTCTCGAAAAGACAGAATCTGTTGAAACGAGAAATCGCCATTAAACGCGCTATGATGCCGTAGCAGAATACAGGTTTACTTAGATTCTGGTTTGGTTGCAGACTTAATTTAATGTGGACCTTGTCCACCAGGGGGAGCTGTTTTTACTCAGCGATTTATCGGAATAAAATTTTGATATCGCATTTCCGATTTTACAATACCATTTCGGTTTTTTTTTAGAACTTTTAGAAGGGAACAATTCCATCATACATGATTTTTATGTAACTTTAACCGTTTAATACGCAGCGTAAGCAACGGAAGCTGTCAAAGGACGAATAATTTTCCCCTTTTCCGATATTTTTTCATTCTATAATAATTTCCCAGTCCAGTTTTTTTTCTACTTAAAAAATTAGTTGTAACATACGTCAGATATATTTTATTATTCCAAAAAAGCACCACAAGTACAAAATTAAAATAGTTTTGAAAATACGAAAATTTTCATAAAACACAACTGAAACTGATTTTTTTTTTTTCACGTTTTATTACAGCATGAAGTTTCACTGTAGAACTGAGGACAAAATTTAAGTATTTTGTTGTCTTGCATCATAAATTAGTCATACTTTTGTCGGATAAAGATTGGGAATTTACTACATGGGGTGTTAGATTTGCTACAATGGGATTGCGACACTGCGACAGGTTTATTACAAACAGATGCTGCTGCATTTTCGACCGCCGGTGCCTGTCGCTAAAACCCGAGTTTATTGAGTCTATGATATTGAATCTTTAGTTGATTGTTTATTTTTTTCAACATTTTCTACAATTTCAGAAATTATGGATTCAATAAACTTATGTGTTTTTTTACTGTTTGTACAATTTTTTGTACTAATTGCACGTTTTGTTTTTTTTTTTTTGCGTAGATAAAATTTGTCACGAGCCATTATTATAAAATAAGGTCTAACAACAAAAATATAGTGCAAATAATTTGTAAGTGGACGACCGAAACTATGTTTTAGGCAGACACTGACAAAGTGGTAGTAACATTGGCAACTGTTCCAAAACTGAGCTTTGCCGAAAAAAGGTACTTTACGTGCATTTCAAACAATTACATTCATAGGACTCTACCATTTCTACCAGCCAGATGTAAACAACCACCTACAATAAATTTAACAACTTTTGTTTGTCACCGGAAGTGGGACTGGTATTGCGGACTGAAATTATCCCTTGTACACGGTTTCGACTCCATTTGAGTAACAATTTTTTTCCGAATTTAAAATTACGTTCAAGCTGTTGTTCAAGCCTAAAATTTAAAATTAAATCTTTCCGAAACAGTATGACAAATATGTAGTGAACAAAAAATATTTACACCTTATACAAAAAAATGAGGTTTACGATGCGCAAGCATATGATATACGTAAAATTAAAAGTGCAAGTCAAAGTTAATATGCATAAAAAATAGCAGCTGTTTCTATTAAAAATTTAAAATTAATTATTTAAATCCTTACAAAACGATATACTAACAAACAGTTTAAGCAAAGTCAAATTTTTAAACAAACTGCCTTCTGCCATACAGTTAGCCGCCAAAATAATTAACATGAATATTTTAGTACTTACATAAAAAACCACCGTTGAATGCTTAGAATTACTTGCACACAACGTACTAATGATTTACGTTGAAGAAAGTAAAAAATTTTGCTATGTGGCTAATAGCTTCAAGGACACGTTATTATTCATTTTCAAACGATTGCGGCTAATAATTTTAACAATTTATTGTTATTTACTTGGTAAATATATTTTTATTTTTATTACTATTGTTTTGTTGCAAACGATAAAGTAAATAACAAAACCAAACTCTTATACATTATTAAGTTTAAGAAAAATTTTCCGCCAAAAATATTCTATTTGTAATGAATGGGCATGTCCGACAGTGCAGATAGTAGGAAAATAATAAAAATATTTACTTATACCGGAAATATTGTTAATTCTCTTATTTCAAGTTTGGCCTACAAATGTGGAAAATCCGTCCCGTTCGTAAATAGTACCTTGGCGCGACCAATTTTTGCTTTACATGATGTTCCTGTAATTCAGACAAACAACACATCCTTGATAGGAATAAATCACATATCTACAGATAATTCCCCGACAGTAGGAGGTACTTTAATATTTACATATATTTAATATATTTACCGAAAACAATTTAAGTACGGAAACAAAATAAATAACTGGAAAGAATTAACTGTAGCCAAAATAGGAAAATGAATCAGTGAGTTTTACATCTTTCCGGTTTTGAACGGTTAAGGGTAAATTCAGGTACCCGGGTTTTGTTTGCAACTATTATGGCTAGACAGGCACTGCGGCTTGTGTACTAAAACTTATTTCCGTACAGTAAAATGTAGAATTCTACGGATCGGTGCTGCATTTATTCACATTTTAGCAATTCACTAACAGGAGGCAGCATCTCCCGGGTCGTTTTATTCTCACTTTGACCAGGCAGATATTTTGCCTCCAGACGGCACCCTTAACGAACTGCTGTGACGTCATTTGCGTGCGTTAATAGCTCTATTAGAAAACCGACAAACGTGGGCGGTAGAAAAATATTCTTAACAATTCACCATGTTTATAATAACTTTAAAACGTCTGCAAGATCTCAAAGTATTCAGTTCTGCAACTCTTGAGTTATATATATATATATATATATATATATATATAATTCAGCTCTGCAGGCCTCAAAAGCCCTGGGCTTTTTTTACAATAATTTTCCATTTGTTCCTGTCAGCTGCTTTGGATCTCCCATCTTCAATGCCTAAGTTTTGAAGATCTTTTCGAACATCGTCTATCCACTTCAGTTTTGGCCTTCCTCTCTTTTTCTTTCCTCCTTTTAGGCGGTCTAATACTTTCCCCAATTGTCCTTTCCTCTGGTGCTCTTCCGACGTGGGCTAGCCATCTTAGTCTCTGTGCTCTGATTATCTTCGTGATTGTTGGTTCTCCGTATATTTCCTCGATCTCTCGGTTTGTTCTTCTTCTCCATTGGTTTAGTTCTTTTATACCTCCATATATCTTTCGTAGTATCTTGCGTTCCCATACTTCCAACTTCTGTTCCTTTTCGTTCGTTAGCGTCCATGTTTCACTAGCGTACAGGACTGTAGGTCTTACTATTGTCTTATATACTTGTTTCTTTGTTCGTCGTGTTACATTCTTACTCCTCAGAAATCTGTTTAATCTTCCTACACTCTTTTTGGTTTTGCGATCCGTTCTTCTATCTCTTCGTTCACTTCGTTTTTGTTTGTAATTACTACTCCTAGATATTTGAACCTATTTACTTCTTCGAATTCGTATGTTGTTCCTTCTTCTGTAGTTACTTTCAGTGGTTTTGCTGGGGTTTGTTTTGTTTCCATCTTCATAAACTTCGTTTTCTCTTGGTTGATCGCTAAACCCATTCGTTTCGCTTCTCTGATTAGATTTTTTGTCATTTTCTTCATTTCTGCTTCTGTTCTCGTTATACATGTCACGTCATCTGCAAAGCCTATGTTTTGGTGTCTTTTTTCGTATGTCGTGCTCGTTCTGTGGATGCCACTTCTCCTTATTATTGCTTCAAGTACTAGATTGAACAGGGTAGTTGATATTGGATCTCCTTGCCGGAGTCCTGTTCTTACTTGGAATGGTTCTGACAACAGACCATTTATCCTGACTCTGTTTCTGGTGCTCTGCAGGGTCATCTTTGTCAGTTTTATTAGTTTTCTTGGGACTCCCAGTTCTTGCATGGCTTCTAACAGTTATTTCCTGTTAACCGTGTCATAGGCTTTTTTAAAGTCTATGAACAGCAGATATAAGTTGATTCCCTGTTCGTAATGTACTTCTTGTAGTTGCTTCAATATAAATATCTGGTCTACAGTAGATCTATTTTTCCCAAACCCTGCTTGATATTCTCCTACTATTTTTTCCATATGCTGCTTTAGTCTTCGGTTGATGCAAGTGGCCATTACCTTATTCGTTACGTCTAGCAGCGCTATTCCGCGATAATTTTCGCATTTCGTAGTATCTCCTTTTTTAAATATAGGGCACAGTACTGCTTCACTTGCAATGGAGGACCAGCAACCCTTGTGGGGTTGCTGGTCCTCCATCGGGTGCCTCCCCAGGTGGCGGATAGGGGAACGCCTCTCAGATATGAGTGGTACCGAGGAAATCAAATACTCGGGGCAGACCAAAACCAGCACACAAAGGACACGACGGTCTCCATGTTAGGAGCGGTAGTCCGACAACGTCTGTTCTCCAAGTAGGAGCGGCTGAACACATAGTCAGGAAAGCAACGGGAAACTACCTGACTCATACAAATTCCCCAAGATATCACGATGAGCACACAAAATAGAACAATGGCCCTCAGTCCCGGGCACCCCTTAGATGGGGAAAGGGTGCGAAGAATCCCCCGGTTACCCAATAAAAACAAAAATGATTTTAAGATTCACAAGGAAAAAAGAATTGGCACATGGAATGTGAAAAGTATGTATCAACCTGGAAAAGCAGCGAACATAATAAAAGAAGCAAAACGACTTCAAATCGACATACTAGGATGCAGTGAAACAAGATGGCCAAATTCAGGTCAATGCACCATTAATGAACATCACATATACTTTTCCGGAGACAATACTACCAAAAACAAAAATGGCGTAGCAGTAATTCTAAATGACCAATCCAACAAATGTGTAAAAGGATTTATCCCCATTTCAAGCAGAGTAGCATTGGTCAAAATCAAATCAAACCCTTTCGACACAAATATCATACAAGTATACGCACCAACAGCTAACAGTAATGAACAAGAAATCGAAGAATTTTATGAAGAAATAAGAATAGCAACTAAACATACGAAGAAAGAAGAAGTTAACATCATCTTAGGCGACATGAATGCCAAAATTGGGCTGGGAAAAATAGAAGATGTGGTAGGAGATTTCGGACTAGGAACAAGAAACGAAAGGGGTGAACGTTTAATAGAATTTTGTCAAGAAATGAACTTCACCATTATGAATACCTTCTTCAAACTACCTCCCAGAAGGCTATATACCTGGAGAGCTCCTACAGACAGCAACGACAGAATCGTAAGAAACCAGATTGATTTTATAATGATAAACAAAAAATACCGAAACGCAGTAACTTCTTGCAAAACATACCCAGGAGCAGACATACCATCGGACCACAACCTATTACTAGCACGTACTAAACTCCGACTAAAGAAGGTTGGCAAAGGAAGACCATTACGAGGAGCTGACATGCAAAAACTAAAACAACATACCGTGTTTCAACAAACAAAGGACAGGATAAATACTGAACTCAAAACAATTTCCGAAAAAAACGCATCTGACCTGGAACTAGAAGATTTATGGGACAAAATAAAGTCATCGTTAACATCTGTTGCGGAAAAAGAACTAAAACCCGACAAAAGAATTAAAAAACAGGAATGGATGACAAATACAATTCTCGAACTGATGGAAGAAAGAAGACAACATCGGAACAAGAATAATGATAAATATAAAGAGCTACACAGAAGAATATTACACGCAATCAAAGAGGCTAAAGAGAGATGGATGCAGGAGAAATGTGACGAAATGGAGATTCTACAAGCCAAACATGACACTTTTAACCTACACAAAAAAAATCAAAGAAACAACAGGAACACAGAGAAGGAAAATTAATGGAATATTGCTGGACTCAGATAATAACTGTATTAGTGAAACAAAAGAAAAACTCGCAAGATGGAAGGAATATATGGAAGAACTGTTTGGAGACGAAAATACCGACATCATGACAAACACAAACACAGAAGAAGGACCAGCAATAACACAAGAAGAAGTAGAATCATCTATAAAAAGACTAAAAAACAACAAGAGCCCCGGACCAGATCAAATACACGGTGAAATTTTGAAATTATTGGGATCAGAGCAAATACAACTGTTGACAATACTCTTCAACAAAATATACACAACAGGAAAAATACCAAACGATTGGTTAACATCAACCTTTATTCCAATCCCAAAAAAGAATAATGCCACCAAATGCTGCGAACACAGAATAATCAGCTTAATGAGCCACCCGCTAAAAGTGTTCCTTAATATTATACAAGCACGCATATATAAAAAACTTGACTCAAGCATAAGTGATACCCAGTTCGGCTTCAGGAAAGGTCTAGGTACCAGGGAGGCGCTGTTCTCCATACAGGTTCTGATTCAACGTGCCCGTGACGTCAATGCAGATGTATTCGCATGCTTTATAGACTTCGAAAAGGCTTTTGATAAAGTTAAACACACCAAACTCATATCAACTCTACGAGAATCAGGCATTGACGAGAGAGACATAAAAATTATAACAAACTTATATAAAGAACAAAAAGCCACAATACGAATAAATAATGAGGTATCAGAATCATTTAACGTAAGAAGAGGAGTACGGCAGGGATGCATATTATCGCCTCTCTTGTTTAATGTGTACTCAGAACAACTTTTCAGAGAAGCATTGGAAAACACAGATGATGGTCTTATAATAAACGGGGAAATAGTAAACAATCTCAGATACGCGGACGACACCGTCCTCTTAGCTCACAGCGCCGAAGGACTTCAAAGACTCATAGACCGTGTAGTTAATGCATGTAACATATACGAGATGAAATTGAACACCAAAAAAACGCATATACTAATCATCAGTAAAAATAATACCCATAATCCACAAATTACCGCTAACAACACAGTTCTCAAGATAGTCGACTCTGTAACATACCTGGGATGCACTCTGAATGAAGACTGGGACCACTCACGAGAAATAAAACATCGAATAGAAACAGCAAGAGCCACATTCAACAAAATGCGCAATGTATTATGCAACCTACAACTTAACATAAAAACCAGAATTAGGATACTAAACAGCTATATACTACCAACTCTCCTATATGGAGCGCAAGCATGGACGCTCACTGATGCATCGTGCAAACGTGTAGACGCGTTTGAGATGTGGTGCTACCGCCGCATGCTAAGAGTATCCTGGACCCATCACGTGTCAAACGAAACCATTTTGCAGAGAATTCATGAAAAACTGAACTTCCTAACAACTATTAAATACAGGAAATTGGAATACTTCGGTCACATAATGAGAGGGGAAAAATACCGCGTCTTACAGCTAATACTGCAAGGCAAAATAGAAGGTCATAGAACAGCAGGACGCAGAAGAATATCGTGGCTGCGAAATTTAAGATCATGGACCGGATTGACCTCAATGGCACTATTTAGAGCGGCGGTAAATAGAGTAATGTGGGCAAATGTGATAGCCGACATCCACAGAGGATAGGCACTTCAAGAAGAAGAAGACTGCTTCACTCCATTGTTCTGGCATTTTTCCTTCCTTCCAACATTCTAGCACTAGTCGATGTATCTCTGATGCTACTGCTTCTCCTCCGTACTTTAGCATCTCGCCCTTTATTCCGTTTCTACCAGGACTTTTGTTGTTTTTCATCTGCCTTAGTGTTTCTCTGATCTCTCCTTCGTCAATTTCTATTGTTTCATCTGGGTCATCCGAGTCGTTCACTCTTTCGTTCGTACCTTGCTGTGTATCCTGTTCGTTTAGCAGCTCTTCAAAGTATTCTGCCCATCGTTTTATTCTTGCTTGTTCGTCGCCTATCAGGTTGCCGTCCTTGTCTTTACAATATATTACTCGTGGTTGATAGCCTCTTTTCTCTTTTTTCACGTCCTGGTAGAAGTTCCTTATTTCATTCTTGTTCAAGTTTTCTTCTATTTGTCGTATTTGTTCTTCCATCTTTGCTCGTTTCTTATTTCTGCATATCTTCTTGTACTCTTTCCTTTTTTCTTGGTAATCTTTTTGGTTCTTCTCATTTTTTGATTTTAGATATTTCTGTCTGGCTGACCTCCCCGCTTCTATTGCTTTTCTACATTCCTCGTCGAACCATTCGTTTCGATTTTTGTTGTCTTTTTTGACGAACCCTAGTACTTCTTCCGAGGTCTTCCATATGTTCTCTTGTAGTTCTTCCCACCTCTCTTCTATAGGTATGTCTTGCTCTGTTGATCTTATTCTCTCATTCATCTTTTGTTCGTATTCCTGTTGTACTTTAGTTTTCTTAAGTTTGTTTACATTTATATCACATTGCGTCTTCTTGCCTTCTTTTTTCTTCGGTATTTCTTGTTTGAGGTCTGTTCTTACTAGAAAGTGGTCTGAATTCGCTGCTGCTCCCCTGTAGCTTCTTAATCTGGTTATTAGTTGGGCATCTTTCCTTTCTACCAGTATGTGGTCTATTTGGTTGACCGTTTTTCCGTCAGGCGACATCCATGTGCCTTTGTAGATCTCTTTCTGCGCAAAGAAGGTGCTTTTGACTACCATTTTGTTTTCTCCTGCAAACTCTATCAGTTTTTCTCCATTTTGATTCGTTTTTTGGTGTTTGCTTTCTTTCCCGATTGTTGGCCTATAGCAATTCTCTTTACCTATCATTGCGTTGGCGTCTCCTATAACCATTTTAATGTCATGCTTTGGTATTTTCACATATTCTCTTTCTAGTTCTTCGTAATATTCTGTTTTTACTTCTAGATCTTTCTCTTCAGTAGGCTTATTTTCCTGTACTTACTTCTCAATCTTATATAGCTCATTCTTTCTGAGATTGATTTGAAGGTAATTACTGTTCCTTTCAGGCTCTTCTTCACCATGAATCCTGTTCCTAGTTCTCTATTGTCAATTCCGCTATTAAATAATATGTAGTTGTCTATTTCAGTGATGACTTTGCCTTTTTGTTTCGTCTCTTGTATAGCTTCTACATCTATATTATACCTTTGTAATTCTTGAACTATTTGTTTGAGTTTTCCTTCGCTATATGTTCCTCGAACATTCCATGTTCCTATTCTAATTTTCGGGTTTTTCTTTCTCTTCGTAATTCCTATCGGGTCATCCATGAGCTTTGCATACGTCGTCATTGTTTTCCGGTGTGTGGTTTCTTCCTCTGTTAGTTTTTTGGATTTTCTTTGCGGTGCGACGGTGCTTTCACTAATTTGTCTAATTTAGTGTCCCAATGCCAGACTTCTTCTGCCCATATCATCTTTTTGTACCCTACTTTTGCCTCGACTCCTTTCCCTTTTTCTGCTGCTGCTATTCCTCTTATTTTCTTCTGTATCTCGCTCTCTTGTTTGGTGTAATCGTCTTCAATAAACGTTTTTGATCCTTTTAATTTGTTCTTCTGTTTCATGATTGCTCTTTTTGTGTCCCAGTTCTCTATCTTTGCTACTACTATGTCGTATTTTTCGCTGACTAATCTTGCGTCTTGTATCTTAGTTTGGATTCCTACCTTATTTTTTAGGAGTTCTTCAACCTCTGCTGTTATTTCGCTTCCTTGTAGTTTCCCTCCTTTGATTACGATGTTGTTTGTCCTTTCTGCTTTTTCCAGTTTTTCTAAGTGTTGCTCCACTCTTTCTAATCTTTCGGTCAGTCTTTGGTTTTCTTCTCTTAGTGTTGTTACTTCTGTTTGGTATGCTCTTTGGTCTCTTTTCATTTCTGCGATTTCCTCCATTAACGTTTTGAACATATTCTTTACTTCGTCCATGTCTCCTGCTTGTACCCTCTTCTGCTTCCTCTGTACTCTTTGACCTTCCGGTGATGGTGAAAAGGAGGTTTCTCTTTTTCGTTTCTGGTTGTCTTGTTCCTCTATTGCTAGTTTGTGTCCTTTTTCCAGTTCAGGATTCCCGTTTAGCATTCCCTGGCCGACTTTCTTGCTTCCTGTGTATCTAGTACGTTCCTGTGTTGTTTACTTCGTGCCGCGATAAGAACTGTCACCCAGACTATGTCTTCGGAGGTTAGGTTCTTTTGATTCCACACTTTCCCGAATAATTGCTGTCCTTACACTTCTTGGTGCTTCTTACTCTTATTCAACTTCACTTCTTTGTTTTCTACTATTTCTCTTTCGCTTTTGGCGCTCGATATCTCTCGATTTTCGAGTTTGGATTTCGGAGCGTGTTCTGCTTATCGTAGTCAGGACCGTACTCTTGAGTTATTCACTAAAATAAATTGACTGATCCACATATTTTTTTTTGAGTCACTGAAAAAGCAAATTCAAAAAATATGAATGCAATGATAAATTATGAAAATATACTGATGATATTTTGCACATTTTAGATAGGATTTATTCGGCAAAATCTTGAGATGACGTCGTCAAGTTTTTGGGTTTGATAAACAGATATATTTTGATTAAAAACCTACCATGTCAAACAGTAACCTCCAAACGTCTGCAATATTTCAAAATTCAGTCTTGCAATTCTTGATTCAATCAATAAAATAAATTGACTCAGTGATTATTTTTTTTGGAACACCCCCTATAAGCAAATTAAAAAATATGAATGGAATGATAAATCACAAGTATAGTCTCATCCTATTTTGGACATTTTAGATAGGATTCATTTGGCAAAATTTTGGACTGACGTCATGAATTTTCTGGAGGGGATAAGTAAATATATTTTGAATAACAATTTATTATACTTATCATATGTTTAAAACACTTGCAAGATTTCAAAGCATTCGGTTTTGCATATTCAAAATTAAATTGTAGCTGAAACGAAGTTCACGGGGTCAGCTAGTTCTAAAATAAAATCTTCATCGACTCAAAGTTAATCACCGAAAATCTTGACTCTTACTACGCCCTATTTTATTATAGTATGATATAATAACAACGAATATAAACAGCATTCATTATTATACGAAGTTATGGATTTTTTTTTCTACCCGAACACCGATCCGCCTCATTAAAAACTACAAACCCACCCGCCCACCACTCCATTGCATAACTGCTCCTTCTCGTTATTTTTCCGATTTTGCAATTAATCAGCACTAATGGCGAACTTTCAATCTTGACAAAAAAGCTCACGATTCTATGCTCGCCTCAATCAGCTGCCACGTCCTTCGTCCATTATTTCAGTTGGACTCGTAACGAAAAGATCAGTGATGTCGATGGAATGCTGCAGCGATGGTAATCGGCGAGGAATTAGTGAGTAATTGCCGGTGGACGGAGACAAGAGGCTGTTGTATCAGCTTGTCCATCTGCTTATCGACGGGACCATCTAACTAATCCTGCCGTTTAACTGTCAAGGCACGAGACCGAGTCGACACTTCACCCACCTTCACGAAAACATTTTGACGATGTTAACCTCGACATCCGTTCGGAATATTAAATTCGGATTGACTGGAACAAGCTACGGAATTATTTACGCGGACGGCATAAACTATCTTGGAAGCTCATCGGACATGCCGTCGAATTTGATAGCGAAAGAAAATTCTGCGTTTTTAACGTCAAGGATCCACGTTTTCATGACGTCAATGCACTTAATTAAATTAAGAGAAACTTTTTGCTTCAATTTCGGATTTACTGAGACCAATTTGCGTATCTTCCCACTCCGAACGCCGAAAATTTGGAATTCTTCCGTTGTTAAAATTCCAGTCGCCGTCGAATTATGGTAGGATTGATTCAGGTTTGTTATCAGCGGAATATTCGGGGAACATACGGCAAACGGGTGGTCGTTATGGATCGTTCTCGTTCTGATAAGACATACCTGGAATTCCAAATGCTTCAACAAAACACACTCCATAAAACATGCAGCATCTCATCGTGTCGGGAGATGGACGCTAATAGAGGCACAAATCACCGATAATTCACCAGTTTAACCCAATCTGTGGAAAAATCAATATCGACGAGAAATAATGGATTTTTTATTAATCAAAACCAGGTAGAGAGAGAAGCGAGAAATTTAAATTTTTCCAGACTTTATTTATTTGTTTCTTATGGTAAACAAGAACATGCCATTCTGATCACTCAGATTGGAGAATGCGATAATAACACTCAGGGTGTTCCAGTTTTTGTAATGGAAACAAGACTGTATTTGATAATTATTTCATTTGTGTTTCCCGCTCATCGACCTTGAGATACTCCCCAAGCGCCTCTTAGATCTCCCCGGATTGTTTTGACGCCAGAGCAGCAGAACAAACCAGAAAGCTCACTTAGCCGGTGTATTCGCAAAAGTGTCGTTATTTACAAACATTCCGTGGTATATCAAACAAACACATCGTCATCGTTTAGGGTGACGATGCGCCGCGAGGGGGTGTGGGGCTAAATCACATTAACTCACACCGAAACGTATTAAGTGGAGTAAGTTTCTAAAAATAAGGCTTTCAGGAGAGGGTTGTAAAAGAACGGATGACAAGTAGTTACAACACGACGACATGACACCGTAATAGCTCCCCGACATTACTCTAAAAGCACTTCCTACACACATATACAAAAAATATCGGTAACGGCGACCTATAAATAAAGCTCGCAAATGGAAACTAAATTATATTTCCTTTTAATACTGCCTGCTGATGACGCGAGAAAAGTGACAATTTCCATGTTTGTAAAGATGCTGATGTGGCGAAAAGACGGAAAAGCGTCACGTTTAGAGACAGGAGTGCCTTTAATTAATTAAATGAAAATGTGTGTTTACATGTATTAATATTTAAGACTTCCTGGACGAAGTCTGTAAAATACTTACAAGATAGCCGATTAATTAAAAAGGATAGAAGAGTCCGATCACTGACTATTTTATCTATTTTACCTCTGATTCATTTATTTTTGTCATTGCAACTTCTAACATAAACCACATCCGTCTCTAAAAATGTTCTATTTCTATAGCCTCTAAAATACTGAACTTGTTTTTTGCAGAATTTTCCATACACTTGGGCAATAAAACTCTAAATTTGTCATTTAATTCTCTATTAAAAATTAATGTCACCAGAGTTTCACCTGTTGTAGAATGGGGAGTCGTTCTGTAAGCAAATAGATATCTATTAATTAAAGTATAACACACAATATTTCTATGTTTACTATCAGACAAAACCTTTTTTAATAAATTTTTCAATGATTGCTATTTTCTGCCAAATCATTGGATGACTGATGGTGGACTAAAAATTTTGCTTAATATTAAATAAAGTTAATAATGGTCTATGATCTGTAAACAATGTAAATAAAAAAAATATTTACCCATTAAATATCGAGAAAATTCTTTAACCGAAAAATAAATAACTAAAGCCTCTTTTTTAATAATTGAATAATTCTGTTCTGTTTTAGTCAAAATTCTTGAAATAAATGCAACTGAAATACCAAATTATATGTATTTTCATACTCTTGTGTCCATTTAAATATAACATCTTTTTTAATAAATTATGTAATGGTTTCTTAATATTTTCTAAATCCGGAATAAATTTACCATAATAGTGTATCATTTTTGCTAAAGACGTAACTTCTGAAATATTTCTCGGTATTGGTGCTTTAAGGTTGCTTTTACTTTACTTTTATCTTTTTTAATTACGTACAAATCGTAAATAATTAATTTATCGTTTAAAAAATTCACATTTACTATTGTGTAAAAGAAAACCTGTTGACTTTAATTTAGAAAAAAGCTTCTTACAAGTTATTCAAAGGTTTTCAAAATCTTCTAAGAAAGAAATTATACCTTTAGTTCCTTAAAGAGCTGTTTCATATTATTATCAACTCTTGCAAAGATTCCCATAGACTCTAGTTTATCTATCTATCTTGGTTTGCAAAAAATAGGTTTTACATCTTTTTGTAATTTAATTGAAACGTTTTCGTATTTATAAACACTCAAATTACCTGAAAACAGAGCCTCAAATTCATGTAATAATTATTGCAACTCTTCTTTGATAACATTCTAAATGTATAACCCTTTGCTAGAAATTACCAAGTTAAATAATAATTGGATTAGATCTCTTCCTAAAAATGATGGACCATCATGTTCAACTACCAATATTTTTCCTAACTTAGTTATTTCACCTATAATTATGTTCGCTAAGAAAGTACCTCTTGTATTTACTTTACCCCAAAAAATGTTGTTTTAAAATATCACATAAACTTTCAATTGAGATTTTCTTTTTGTTAAAT